TGTTCAGCTCAAGGCACCGCAAGTCATCAAGGCTGGCGAGGACTTTGATGGAAAGATGCAGACATTCGAGCTATCGGGTGTCACGTGCCAAGGACAGAAGGAGAGCGGGTCGGACACCGCTGTTTTCCTTGTTGAACCTGGTGGCACGCTCCGAAATGCCATCATCGGCAAGAACCAAATGGAGGGTGTTCACTGCGATAAACATGACTGCGTGATTGACAACGTTTGGTGGGATGACGTCTGCGAGGATGCGCTCAGTATCAAAGGTGGCACCGCGTCCAGTGTTACAACGGTCATAGGTGGTGGCGCCCGGCTGGCCGATGACAAGGTCATCCAGCACAACGGCCTCGGTACTGTCAAGATCGACGGTTTTTACGGAGAAGACGTCGCCAAGCTCTACCGTTCGTGCGGCACGTGCGCTGACAAGGCACGAAAAGTGGAAGTCTCAAATGTGTACGTCGTGGACCTGCAGAATTCCATCGTAACGGTGAACAAGAACTGGGGAGACGAGGCCACGCTGAGCAACATTTGGGTCACGTCTAAGAAGAAGAAAGTAAAGATCTGCCAGTGGTCGCAGGGAAGCGCCGACGGCGAGCCTTCGACTCTCGGTGATGGTCCGTCGCCCCCGCTCTGTCAGTACACGGAGAGCGACGTGCACATCAACAAAGGCGCACCTTCAGGTGGAAGCTCGAAACCGAGCAAAGGCTCATCACCGTCAGCGTCCGCGGGTGGTGACAGTGTTGAGCAAGAAAGTGGCCCTGACGACAAAAATGGTGAAGAGGACGAAAGTGCTGAAGACGGCTCTGATGTCGTCAACCAAAGCGATAGCGATGACGAAGATGGCGGTGAGGATAAAAAAGAGGGCGGTGACGACAAGAAAGAGGGCGGTAACGACAAAGGCGGCGGTGACGACATAGAGGGCGGTGGCGACAAGAAAGAGGGCGGTGACGACAAGAAAGAGGGCGGTGACGACAAGAAAGAGGGTGGCGACGACAAGAAAGAAAGCGGTGACGACAAAGAGGGCGGTGACGACAAAGGCGGCGGTGACGACAAAGAGGGCGGCGACGACAAAGAGGGCGGTGACGACAAAGGCGGCGGTGACGACAAAGAGGGCGGTGACGACAAAGGCGGCGGTGACGTCAAGCAAGAGGGAGGTGCCGATAAGAAAGAGGGCAGTGACGACAAGAAAGAGGGAGGTGCCGATAAGAAAGAGGGAGGTGATGACAAGAAGGGCAGCGGAGGTGGTGGCAAAGAGGGGTTCAGTGATCTCGGAGCCAGTAAACCATCAACTGGTGGAGGGGGCAGCAAACCATCTACCGGCGGAGGAAAAGTGCCCGATGGGACGTGGCCCAAGAGCACGGGTACTGTTCAGCTCAAGGCACCGCAAGTCATCAAGGCTGGCGAGGACTTTGATGGAAAGATGCAGACATTCGAGCTATCGGGTGTCACGTGCCAAGGACAGAAGGAGAGCGGGTCGGACACCGCTGTTTTCCTTGTTGAACCTGGTGGCACGCTCCGAAATGCCATCATCGGCAAGAACCAAATGGAGGGTGTTCACTGCGATAAACATGACTGCGTGATTGACAACGTTTGGTGGGATGACGTCTGCGAGGATGCGCTCAGTATCAAAGGTGGCACCGCGTCCAGTGTTACAACGGTCATAGGTGGTGGCGCCCGGCTGGCCGATGACAAGGTCATCCAGCACAACGGCCTCGGTACTGTCAAGATCGACGGTTTTTACGGAGAAGACGTCGCCAAGCTCTACCGTTCGTGCGGCACGTGCGCTGACAAGGCACGAAAAGTGGAAGTCTCAAATGTGTACGTCGTGGACCTGCAGAATTCCATCGTAACGGTGAACAAGAACTGGGGAGACGAGGCCACGCTGAGCAACATTTGGGTCACGTCTAAGAAGAAGAAAGTAAAGATCTGCCAGTGGTCGCAGGGAAGCGCCGACGGCGAGCCTTCGACTCTCGGTGATGGGCCGTCGCCCCCGCTCTGTCAGTACACGGAGAGCGACGTGCACATCAACAAAGGCGCACCTTCAGGTGGAAGCTCGAAACCGAGCAAAGGCTCATCACCGTCAGCGTCCGCGGGTGGTGACAGTGTTGAGCAAGAAAGTGGCCCTGACGACAAAAATGGTGAAGAGGACGAAAGTGCTGAAGACGGCTCTGATGTCGTCAACCAAAGCGATAGCGATGACGAAGATGGCGGTGAGGATAAAAAAGAGGGCGGTGACGACAAGAAAGAGGGCGGTAACGACAAAGGCGGCGGTGACGACATAGAGGGCGGTGGCGACAAGAAAGAGGGCGGTGACGACAAGAAAGAGGGCGGTGACGACAAGAAAGAGGGTGGCGACGACAAGAAAGAAAGCGGTGACGACAAAGAGGGCGGCGACGACAAAGGCGGCGGTGACGACAAAGAGGGCGGCGACGACAAAGAGGGCGGTGACGACAAAGGCGGCGGTGACGACAAAGAGGGCGGTGACGACAAAGGCGGCGGTGACGTCAAGCAAGAGGGAGGTGCCGATAAGAAAGAGGGCAGTGACGACAAGAAAGAGGGAGGTGCCGATAAGAAAGAGGGAGGTGATGACAAGAAGGGCAGCGGAGGTGGTGGCAAAGAGGGGTTCAGTGATCTCGGAGCCAGTAAACCATCAACTGGTGGAGGGGGCAGCAAACCATCTACCGGCGGAGGAAAAGTGCCCGATGGGACGTGGCCCAAGAGCACGGGTACTGTTCAGCTCAAGGCACCGCAAGTCATCAAGGCTGGCGAGGACTTTGATGGAAAGATGCAGACATTCGAGCTATCGGGTGTCACGTGCCAAGGACAGAAGGAGAGCGGGTCGGACACCGCTGTTTTCCTTGTTGAACCTGGTGGCACGCTCCGAAATGCCATCATCGGCAAGAACCAAATGGAGGGTGTTCACTGCGATAAACATGACTGCGTGATTGACAACGTTTGGTGGGATGACGTCTGCGAGGATGCGCTCAGTATCAAAGGTGGCACCGCGTCCAGTGTTACAACGGTCATAGGTGGTGGCGCCCGGCTGGCCGATGACAAGGTCATCCAGCACAACGGCCTCGGTACTGTCAAGATCGACGGTTTTTACGGAGAAGACGTCGCCAAGCTCTACCGTTCGTGCGGCACGTGCGCTGACAAGGCACGAAAAGTGGAAGTCTCAAATGTGTACGTCGTGGACCTGCAGAATTCCATCGTAACGGTGAACAAGAACTGGGGAGACGAGGCCACGCTGAGCAACATTTGGGTCACGTCTAAGAAGAAGAAAGTAAAGATCTGCCAGTGGTCGCAGGGAAGCGCCGACGGCGAGCCTTCGACTCTCGGTGATGGGCCGTCGCCCCCGCTCTGTCAGTACACGGAGAGCGACGTGCACATCAACAAAGGCGCACCTTCAGGTGGAAGCTCGAAACCGAGCAAAGGCTCATCACCGTCAGCGTCCGCGGGTGGTGACAGTGTTGAGCAAGAAAGTGGCCCTGACGACAAAAATGGTGAAGAGGACGAAAGTGCTGAAGACGGCTCTGATGTCGTCAACCAAAGCGATAGCGATGACGAAGATGGCGGTGAGGATAAAAAAGAGGGCGGTGACGACAAGAAAGAGGGCGGTAACGACAAAGGCGGCGGTGACGACATAGAGGGCGGTGGCGACAAGAAAGAGGGCGGTGACGACAAGAAAGAGGGCGGTGACGACAAGAAAGAGGGTGGCGACGACAAGAAAGAAAGCGGTGACGACAAAGAGGGCGGCGACGACAAAGGCGGCGGTGACAACAAAGGCGGCGGTGACGTCAAGAAGAGGGAGGTGCCGATAAGAAAGAGGGCAGTGACGACAAAAAGAGGGAGGTGCCGATAAGAAAGAGGGTGGCGACGACAAGAAAGAGGGCGGTGACGACAAAGAGGGCGGCGACGACAAAGGCGGCGGTGACAACAAAGGCGGCGGTGACGTCAAGCAAGAGGGAGGTGCCGATAAGAAAGAGGGCGGTGACGACAAGAAAGAGGGAGGTGCCGATAAGAAAAAAGCGGTGACGACAAAGAGGGCGGCGACGACAAAGGCGGCGGTGACGACAAAGAGGGCGGCGACGACAAAGAGGGCGGTGACGACAAAGGCGGCGGTGACGACAAAGAGGGCGGTGACGACAAAGGCGGCGGTGACGTCAAGCAAGAGGGAGGTGCCGATAAGAAAGAGGGCAGTGACGACAAGAAAGAGGGAGGTGCCGATAAGAAAGAGGGAGGTGATGACAAGAAGGGCAGCGGAGGTGGTGGCAAAGAGGGGTTCAGTGATCTCGGAGCCAGTAAACCATCAACTGGTGGAGGGGGCAGCAAACCATCTACCGGCGGAGGAAAAGTGCCCGATGGGACGTGGCCCAAGAGCACGGGTACTGTTCAGCTCAAGGCACCGCAAGTCATCAAGGCTGGCGAGGACTTTGATGGAAAGATGCAGACATTCGAGCTATCGGGTGTCACGTGCCAAGGACAGAAGGAGAGCGGGTCGGACACCGCTGTTTTCCTTGTTGAACCTGGTGGCACGCTCCGAAATGCCATCATCGGCAAGAACCAAATGGAGGGTGTTCACTGCGATAAACATGACTGCGTGATTGACAACGTTTGGTGGGATGACGTCTGCGAGGATGCGCTCAGTATCAAAGGTGGCACCGCGTCCAGTGTTACAACGGTCATAGGTGGTGGCGCCCGGCTGGCCGATGACAAGGTCATCCAGCACAACGGCCTCGGTACTGTCAAGATCGACGGTTTTTACGGAGAAGACGTCGCCAAGCTCTACCGTTCGTGCGGCACGTGCGCTGACAAGGCACGAAAAGTGGAAGTCTCAAATGTGTACGTCGTGGACCTGCAGAATTCCATCGTAACGGTGAACAAGAACTGGGGAGACGAGGCCACGCTGAGCAACATTTGGGTCACGTCTAAGAAGAAGAAAGTAAAGATCTGCCAGTGGTCGCAGGGAAGCGCCGACGGCGAGCCTTCGACTCTCGGTGATGGGCCGTCGCCCCCGCTCTGTCAGTACACGGAGAGCGACGTGCACATCAACAAAGGCGCACCTTCAGGTGGAAGCTCGAAACCGAGCAAAGGCTCATCACCGTCAGCGTCCGCGGGTGGTGACAGTGTTGAGCAAGAAGCTGGCGTCGTGTCCCCTGGTGGCGGCGATGACGGCAAAAAGGGTGGGGAGAACGAAGACAACAAGAGCCTGGGAGGAGACGATGAGGGTAAAGACGAGGAATGGGGTGGTAGCAAGAACAATGATAAGAATGACGAGGGAGACGAAAAGAAGGACGAGGGAGACGAAAAGAAGGACGAGGGAGACGAAAAGAAGGATGAGGGAGACGAAAAGAAGGACAAGGAAGACAACAAGAAGGACGAGGAGGACGACAAGGAGGACGAGAAAGACGGCAAGAAGGACGATAAAGACGGCAAGAAGGACGAGAAAGACGACGGGAAGGATGAGGAGGACAACCAAGAGAGCGTATTGCAAGAGGAGATTGCTGGTGAAGCTGCAAGTTGGGGCGGCACGGGAGATGGTTTTTCTCTCGAAGACGGGACCGACCATTTCTCAAAGGATTCGCCACCGGCGTCAGCATCAAAGTGCAACGTCCGTCGCAGGAGGAACTAGAGGAGGAGATGCAAACTGGAACATTGGCCTGAAGTCGTTGGAAACTTCGTGGTCATTTCTTCCAGCAGCATTTGTGTTGTTTGAGTTTTACAAAGTAGATGTGTTTCGATAAAATCAATCGTTTAATGAGCCGTTTAATGAGTAAATTTGAAGATACTGCATACATAATGCACAACAGCTCGAAAGTCTCACGTGACATGTGTATATTTGTCTTCCAATCGAGACCTCGCTGAATGCAGACCTCAGCAGACGACAAGTCGCAGAAATACACTGAAGCCAACCCGCATCTCAACGAAACAGAGCAAACTATGTCCGCACGTCTGTATTGCAGAGCCCTTTCGCTTGCCCAATTCAAGCTCTCTCTCCATCTACTACAGTGCGAACAGGAATGATATAGCCACCAACAATTTTCAACTTATAAACACGAATAGATCAAATTAAGAGCGCAAATATAGCCACTCGAAAGCGCTGGACGAGAGGATCATGTTGCGACATCACTTTAAAAATTTGCAGGCCTACAGGCTCAGGAACGCCGAGAAGAGTGGAGAGGGCAGTAGAATGATGATGTAGCCACCAAGCATCGCCGCGTCGTATGCCACCGTCACGGCGTGGTTTGGGTCCGTTTGCTTTTGTTGCAATGCCTGCTTGCTGACGCTACTATGTATGATCCTATTGTCGACGGAAGTTTGCCGAGAGGCAAGTAATTCACGGAAGAAGAGATGGGAAAGGTGAACGCCTTCCATGAGGCAAAATTGAGTCATCAAGAGACTGCTCGAGTACGCATGGGTCGATCTCGAGGCGTCGTTGAACGCTTCTTGAACGACCCCGTCGCCTACAGTGCGTAATACCTGCTGGAAGACCACCCGTTTTAACTGAAATGACTCGACGCCGACTGATTGGTGCCGCTCAGGGGGGTGAATTATCAGCACGGGAGATCCATGCGCAACTGGAACTTCCAGTAAGTGTTTCTGGAGTCAAGCAGCTTCTATACGCGAAAGCCCTAAGCTTTTGTTTCTCAAGCGTAAACATGCACCAGTGCTCACTGAAAGGCACAAAATAGCTCGTGTCAAGTGGTGTGCTGAGAGATGCCGTCTCTCCGATGAAAATTGGAGCACGAAAAGATTTTTTATCTGGATGGACCAGATGGATTCCAAGGCTATTGGCACGACTTGAGGGAAGAAAAGCAGTTTTTTCGACCCGTCAATCCGGCGGTGGCTCGGTCATTGTTTGGGGTGCCTTTGGAGGCGCTAAGACAAGCATATTGGCTTTCTTAGAGGGGAAACAAAACAGCGAAAAGTACGTAAGTACACTGGAAAACTTTCTTGCGCCTTTTTTGGACGAGCTGGGTGGTGATGGACTGACTTTTCAGCAGGATAACGCGTCGATACACCAATCTCGGTATACGAAGGCGTGGTTTGCGGACCAGAATTTTTCTGTTATCGACTGGCCAGCGCTTTCGCCGGACTTAAACCGGATCTAAAACTTATAGGGGGTGCTTGCCAGGGCCGTATATAAGAAAGGGCGGCAATTTTGGTTGCGAACTGAGCTGATCGAGTGCATTTTAAGTGCTAGAGAGAAATTGCCGCCGCTTACCTCCAGAAGCTTGCCCATTCGATGCACAATCGGTGCGTGGAAGTGCTAATGAACCGGGATATCAAGATTGACTATTTGGGGCTCCTAGCAACGCTAAGGTCGGGAGAATAATTAGTTTTTTTGGTGGCTAAACCATTATAAACGTCCACTTTTCATATTCAGCATCATAACTTTTGATTGAACAGTCGGAAGTGTAAAAGGAAAGAACAGTCATATTCACCGATTAGAGGGCTACATATTGGTACAGTTTTTTGAACTTGTATCGCTTGCTTCAACATTATAAAACACATGGGTGGGTATATCATTCCTGTCCGTACTGTATCGTCCAGCTGTACCAACACGCAGTTCAATGTTTACGTCACATTTCTGTTTAGACCACGAAAAGTGAAAACCGTAACACCTTCGAAAGGTCTATGTAAACGTGAGTACACGTCGGTCGGTAATCGACGTGATTATTTGGCTTGTTGAGATATATTCGAGAACGCGAACGACGCACTATATCCGGTATATTCCAATCATGGTTTTTTTAGAGGTAGTGGTATGTTTTAAAGCTACTCTGGCAATCATTATGCGATTGTCACCCTCAGAAATTATTTTACGCGTTAACGGGATTGAACCGGCAGTCATCATCATAAAGACAAGTCTACTGCACCACTACCAGAGAACCACCCCTTTGGTAACTGACATACCAAATGTGGCTCTAAACCAAGGACGCGATCCAATTGAAAATGATTTCAGAACACCTCATCAGTTGGTGGGGGATGACGTGTGTCAGCCACCAAGTACAAGGCTTTTGTATGGTATTAATAAGATCATTATTGTCTAGATTTAGTTACTTTTAGTCAAAGGTGTCCTTTTGAAAACAAAAGGAAGTTCAGCTCCTCTTTTTGATCTATCAAAGACACATGCCTTCCTTATACTACTCAGAACGTAAGGAGAATCAAGTCTTTGTAAGGCACAGACTCCTAAGAACGCTGTACAACCAATTCATTGGATCCTTTAGAACCCGTCATTAAGTACCTAAAGGTTAAAGCACGATGACTTGTAGAGCCGAGTTCTTGTAAAGAACTGCTAAGCTGGCTGTGCACACAAATCATTCCTCTGTCTAGGAGCTATACTAGCCCCGCTACACTTGGTAGCACTTGTATCAATCTACGCCTGATTCCGCAAAGACTCATTCTCTGTGATCTTGGAATATTCCACTCCCCTCTCTAAACCCCAGAAAATCGCGCTTGATAGGCTGACCGCGGCTGTGGGCCCGGAATATGAGTAAGTTCTTATGGCGCAAGGCCAGAACGCGTTTAACGCACACCTCGAGGCCTTTATTCAATACGAAACGACCCTTATGGGATAGGACTAAGATCAAATGGTGTCGGCTGTGCCAACGCGTTTTGTGTTTGTTTCAAACGAAGAGTGTAAGCTTCGTCCTGTCAAGTTAGACATTAAACCCTACTCGGATAAAGACAGTTTAAATCTCATTCTATGGACCCGCGAGGTAGAGATATCCCAAAAGCCGGGTATTATACTGACTGACTATCAGCGGGTCGCGGTGACGATGAACAAGCTCGCTAGAAGAGAGACGGTTTGAACACTTACGTGCAGCGCGTCCATCGATGACGCCTAACCTACATGAAAAAGTATAATCTGCAGCTTTTGTGGACTTTTTTTGACAGCGTAATCAGACAAATCGCGTGCGATCACGCTCCTTGTATACCTGTCATGGCAAGACCGAGTGTTAGGAGTATGTCCAAGGGTTGAGGACACTCATAGCTGCTATGCATAACGGCCTTCTACCAGAGGCAGTCCATGTGACGGTATTCATGGAAGTTCTTCGTCCTAGTCCCACCAGAACTGTAGTCATCCGTGTCCACTCCACTACATTGAACGAGCTGTCGACATCGCACACAATGCTGATTACATCTTTAAGCATCTATTATGGTTTGGAATGAGTATAACCCTAGCTCTACCGGAGTAAGAGCTCGATGTATGAGTACATCAGAGTTCTTTAGACCTAAACCTACGGATATTAGCAAATGCTGAAGGTGATGGTCACGATGAAGCAGAGCTTTAGTTGTTGAACAACGACGTGGCATTCTTCGCTACTATACGTGCGGAAGCACAAAGCTTTACTCTCGGATGTCCATTCCAAAATCAGCACTAACTCACATTAGTAGAATGCATACCAATAATCAGAACTCTAGTACGGCACGGGAAAAAGTTAACCCCCCCAATAGATACAGGTTGTCCTACAACGAATAAACTAAGTTATGTGATACCTCACAGAGAAGGAGGTGAACAGAGATTATCCCTAAAGCGTTCTATGTGCTCTGTGGTAAAGTGCTTACAAATAAATAACATAGAGGACGTCACGATGAAAGTACAAGCGGCCAACCAAAGGGAAGTAGTCTTTAAGGTAGAAGAAGCCTCAAAAGTGGTAGGGCATTCGCGATAGAAAGGCGCACAGGACCAATTGAAGGGAAAGACCGTTGCCAAGATACCACTTCGGCGGTACGTATGATAGAGACCGCGGTTTCTCATCGGTGGCATCTATCCCTAAGTGGTAGGCCCAGTCCGAAATGGCAGACTTGGGTCGTGAAACGTAATGGACCCAGTCCCACAAAGGTAGACCTAAGCATCTCATTGCAGACCTGTTTCTTCCTCGGTAGACATGGAGTCCCTCACCAGTAGACCAGTGTGGTAAAGTGGTGATCGCTTGTTTGAGAAGTCGATCCTAGCTACATTGGCGCCCGGATAACGACTAACGGAGGGGTACTCCGATCCCGTTCTGTAGCTTTTGCTCACCTTGTGTGCACCGGTCGGTAGGGCGAGTTTCACTCTTCCAGATGAACTCGTGGCGATGCCGAACTTGAGCGTGTTTGGGATTGGGACATCGATGCGGATGCCTTCACACGATTACGGGTGTACTTTTAAGTTGCTCGATAAGAGTCACATCGATCTCCACGAGATTGCTTTGTCCAAAGTATATACTTGATCCGCTAGACCTTCTGACCACTTGAGCCGTCTCGCGATCTTGCACCCCTCGCCTTTACTTGTTTGCTGCGTACAATCGCATTTGGGGTTTGGTTGAGAGTCCTTGATCCCTGACCAAACAACTTAGGGATACCACTTGGTATAATTATGCAACTTTCCCTGACGTCGGGTGGCCGGCAATCCAGCCCGGAGGGGAAGTCGACAAGTGTACTTAGAAGCAAACTAAACACTGTTTAATGTTAACCAATCAAACCCACAAACTAGCACATCACTACGTCTATCTGTATCACGCGCATCAGGGGCCACGCGTCTTCATCTCCATAAGATCGCCCCCTTGTACCTATGTGGCCCACACCGAGTATGTCCATTCTTGAACCTTGGCGTAGTCCACATCCAGTTTGTACACGGATGTCGCC